TTCTTTCTTAATTTTTTCATATGTTAAATGAGGAGGATAATAAGTTAACCACAAATAAAGTATTAATGGAATAAGATAACCAAGGAAATATGTTCTATAAACTACAATAAGTGAAGGAATTAATTCAAATCTCATGAATGGATAAACTGCATAATTTAAATGCCAATGATTAAATATTCTTAATAAAATATCATATCCATTCCATACAATACTTCCTTCTCCAAATTTCATTCGCATATATGGATCAAGTCGTTTATAAATTAGATTTGATAAATCTTTATCAAATCCTAATACAAAAAATGACATATAATATCCTGGATATACTCCATGCCAAAATGCACAAACTGCCATAGTTAAACTTGTTTTATATCTTTCTAATGGTGTTCCAATCATAGAGACATAAACATAATTCTTTAACCATTTTTGAACATAAGTATTCCAAAGATCCATATTTACTTTACATGACCTACATACTTCAAATTCTATAATACTAACATTTCTATATAATAAAAATTCATCTTTTCCTTCTTTTGTTCTTCCAGTATAACCACATCCTGAAATTTCTCCAAGTGATTCAGTCAATTTCCATGTTCCATAATATTTTAATCGAATTGTAGAAACTGTCCACCAAATGGTTAATAATTTCCACCAAATACTACATGTTTCGGGATGTTCAAGAATATAATATTCTGGGTCTGGTAATGGATTACTATTAATATATGCATAAATAAAATATATAATAATTCCTCCAATATAATGTTCTAGGAATTTCAAAATTGGGATTTTAGGAAGTTCTTTTCCTTTGATAAGATTAAATCTACTCATATCAATAAATGACATATAATCCCGATATTCTAATGATGGTCCACTAAATAATCCTGGATAAAAGAATATAAATCCATAAAATTCTATAATACTTGGATATTTATTTATTTTATGTGCTTCTAAATATGGTGTTAATTCTTTCTTAAATGAATTTGCAACACTAAATGCAAATGCTGTTAATTTTAATGTAATAATCATATGTGTTGTTGTAAATTCAAGTGTCCAGACAAGATACATATTAAAATATAAATAAATATGTCGATATAATAAATATCCAAATGTTATTATAAAACATATATTTGCTGCTTTTTGTGTTTTATTATATTTCATAATTAAATAAACTGGTATTGTTGTAAAAAATACTGTTATAAATTCCATTCCAAAAAGTAAATATGAAAAAACCATTCCTAATGTTCCATAAACAATATGTTTGATATTTGGATTATTTGGAAGATATCTTAATCCAAAACAAATTGGTGCTGCAAGTACTGCATTTGAAAAATATTTCACTTGGTCTAATGGTACATTAAGTGCACTTGAAAGTGGTTCGACCCAATCATCTGCAAGTGAATAATTACTAAACATCTTCTTTCTTCTTTCTTTTTATAAGTTCTTTAGGTTTTTATTCTTTTCTTCCCATAAAAATAGACCTTTTGGACTTTTATTCTTCTTTTCCTTTTTCTTTCTTTTTTAACTCTTTTTTTATCATTTTTCTTTTCCTTAAACTTTAGTATCTTTTATTTTACTTCTTTTTCTCTTCTTCATTCCTTCTTTCTTATTTGACGTCATTAAACAATTCATCATTATTCTTTATCCAAATGTTATTCCTTTTTTTTGTTCATCTTTTCTATTTCTTATTCCTTTTGTTGTTTTTGTATGAATTATGCTTTTTATGTTTTTGAAATTTCTTTCTTCTTTCTTTTTTTTTATTTTTATTATTCTTTGTTTCTTTTTTGGTTATGTTATTTTGTCTTTCTTCTTATTTTCATCATTTGACTTTATTTAGTTTGTATTATTTTAGCTTTTAATAACAGATAATAACTATTAACTATTGTATTATTACATTGTTCATTTGTATTTTTGAATCTTTTAAATACTAACTCTCTTCGTCTGAGTCAATCTTTTAGTTAAAAAATAATTAAAATATTCACAACTCATTTGATTTGATTGTTTATTGGTAAATATTGTATGACTGTTTGTTTACACCGACTTTTAGTAATACTTCTTCACTTTTTTCTCTCTTCTATCAAAATTATCTGATTAAAAATAAATCAATCACAAACATTTAGGTATTTAGGTATTATTACTCACTCATTTGTTTATGTAATCTTTTATTTTGTTTAATTTATCTGTTATTCTTCTTTTTGTTTAACTCTTATTCTTATGTTTTTATTTGATTAGTTATTTTCTATCTTCAGTTATTCTTTCAATTAAATAATTCAATATAGTAGTTATACTTACATTAAGTGATGAAAATGAAAGTTGGAAATACAAAATAACGTATTAAATTTTATTAATATGCAAGTGATTATCATAACAAGAGAAAGTGTTTATATTAATATATGATGAGACATAATAAAAAACATAGCAAGTATAGAAAATATAAAAAGAAATGATAACTCTTAGAAATATAAAGGAAATAGAAACACGCATAAAACAAATTAAAAATACAACAAAACAATGAAGTTGAATTGAAGAAAATGAA